AACAACAACAACAAAAAGAAACAACAACCCCCACCCCCTACACCCCCACACCCACCACCCATCACGAATAAAAGACAATTAAAAAAAAAATTATTATCATTTCAGAGACAAGGATAAAAAAACAATGATTAAAAAGAACCGAGACACCAGACCTGCTTGAGAGCACAGATTTCAGATCGATTTCCCAAAATGAACTCATGAACACCGCACTTCACCACACCACACGGCACCACACAGCACAGCACCACAGAGCACCACACAACACCCTTGAAACGAAAGTATTTTTGTAAATTGTTGACTGTAAATTGTTGTGACTCTTTCCACGAGGAGGATCAATTTTCTTACTTTCTCCACCAGCAGTTTGACTGCGCGCTACCTTCTCCACGAGAAAGTTGTTGTGGCGACGTTACTTTTTGCGACAAGAAGCTTACCTTTCGAGAACTCGCGTTGACAACGCAGAGACAGACACTTCCAATTAAAACGAGAACGAAGAAGAAATGAAAATGTATGGATTTAAACGCTTTGCCGCCAAAAATATATCACACATCGATCTCACGGTGAGGCAAAAATATAAAACCAGGGAAAGGAATTAAAAGCTAAAAAAAGAAACTATTACATATTTACTTGAAAAAAAAAAAAAACTATACAAAAAGTTTTCCCCTGGAGTATTAAAACCCTTTAAAATGGGCGCTTTAAAATATTACTATGCAAAAAAAAAAAAAAAAGAAAAAAAACCGAAAGTAAAAACTGAAAAAACAAGAAGAAAGTAACAGAAATTAAACATTTGAATAAAATCTTATAGAGCCACAGGAAAACTATAGGTAGAAATACAACTTACAGGATAGATTTGCCCACGATAAAAAAACCCACCCAGCTTATTATATCCCACTCGGGTTACCGCTATCTTCAAACAGTACTACGGCATAGATCAATTATTTAAAAATCCGTAAGCGCCAGGTCTCCGTCCTACAATAATATTACGTCTGAGTCTTGGAGTATGGAATCGCGCGCGGGGGTTTTTGTTTCTAAGGCGCGGCGTTTTCGAAACTGGTTCTAACGATAATGATCTGGGTTTGGCGGGACATGAGGGGCGAATAATTATTGTCACCAGTGCGCGGCATCGCTGCGAGAGGATGTATTGAGCGCGCGTGCGTTTGAGTGTGAGTTTGTTTGTCAGAGGAGTCGAGTCTGTGAGTGAGTTAGTAGTGTGGAGATTTAAGTATGTATGTGTTTGTGTATGTGTGTGTAAATATATAATATGTGTGTGCGTGTGTGTGTGTGTGATTGTGTGTGTGTGAGTGTGTGTGTAT